CACACATTGAAACTATCGATAATGGCTCAGTTAAAGAGATTATAGAATTTACTTTATGGCATGAAATAAAGTGAAAAAAGGTCAAAGTTTCCCATGATTTATGTCCATTAAGTAGGTTAGTCTATAATAAAAACATTCAATTTGAATGCTCTACCAGGTATTATGTTGGCAATAAACCAATAGGTAAGGTTGATAAGCTGCAATAGCATGTGTCCGGTGTTAATCAAGTCAATGATTTTAGGTAATCTGCTAACACTGCAGAATTAGATTGACAAATGTTTTGATAAGTAATTCAATATTTACCGAGGACTTTAATTGTGACTGAAAATATGTTACCGCATCAACAGTTATTATTCACTTTCAAGCACAGCGGCCTTTACCGTGTCGATGTGGTGATCAATTGCTTCTCCAATTGATTCATAGAAGATGCAAAGGTGGGAAAATAACCAAAAAGCAAGCAACAAACACAAAAAGCGACATTATACTAAACATTGAAAGTTTTGTTTTCTTGAGAAACAGTTTAAACTCAAGTAATATTACATTTGTTACATGAAAATACGAGTAAATATACATTAATACTGTATCAGATTAACAGATATTCAATTGTTGCGGTACAAGGAAAGGTTATTTAATACATGGTATTAGATGAGCTCAAAAGACCAAATAAACATCAAGAAAGTATCAAATATAAATGGTAGAAACCAAATTATATCAAGTTAAAGCTGAAATAAACTTGTAACTACAGTAGTAATTGTTTAAGCTAATTGCATTTAACTTTCATTTAGTAGGTTACCAATGTAATCACACTATTAATTGTTAGAAACCTTAAACTATGAGTTCAATCAGAAATTAACTATTCAATGAAAAAAAGTGAAAAAATATTTCTATTAAATGAATACTCAAAATACTTTTCAAGCTTATAGCAACAACTTTGATAATTGTTTAATCAATGAAGTGACCAAATCTCTGTAAAGACTGAACTTGAGAAAAATGGGAATTTCAAATGAAGAATTTTCACAATTTTGATTGAAAATGATACAACAATTGCAAATATAACAAACATTAATTGACTAATTGAAAGATTGATAATTTTAAATGACAGGAAACGGGAATAAAACGGCCATAAATGAACATCAAACAAGATTTTTGACACACATAAACGTTGTCTAAAGTTTGCCTTTGACTATAACAACATATGTAAAAAAATAACATAGATTACATGATTTTACCTTGTTGGTGTCAGCCTTTAACTAGTTTATGTTAACTTTCAAGGGTTAATTTTAAAAACATGATATTGATCAGTACCTGGCAAATAAATAAGATTTACAAATTCATCTTAAGATATAACCTTTAGAAAGATTTATGTAAGTAAAATATTGATGATTAGTTAATTGAAAGGTAGAAAGAAGAAGAAGAAAAAAAGAGGAAAATTAAAAGTCAATTGGTTAATTTGCATGTAATCAAGTTTAAGTGAATTCAAGTGTATATTTGATTATGATAATCATTGAGTTACCAAATGATCAAATGTAAAGTCTCAAATATACAAGCAAAGGTATATTAAAAGGTAAATTAATTCTCACACAAGTGAAAATATGCTATTTTTCAGGTAATCATATTATCTGAAAGGTAACTGTTGTTTGTTTCCGCATTTTTGCTCCCCTTTCGACTCATCTTATGCAAGTTATCAGTGTTTTTTCAGGGCCAACCGGTTTCAATGTTTCAGAAGAAGTTGAAGAAAAATTTACAAAAAGCAAAGACTATCAAGGAGCCTTTTTTGGACCCCTCTTGGGTTTGTAGGGAAAAAAGAGGTTTGAGAGAGAGAGAGAGAGATAAGTTACTGAGTAAGTTCATGAGACAAGCATCAGGAAAGAGAAAAATTAGCGATACTTGAAACCAGTAAAAAATGGTATAAACATGTATAATAATGATGATCATAATGATGGTTATATACCAATCATTGAGATTGCCATTCAACCGATCACAAATGTTTCTCTCAATTACATGACAATTTAGCTCGTACTCCACATAATCACCATCGTCATCAATTCATCTGTTTTTTTCATCATTTTGTCCTAAAGAGACTGCGTTAAAGTACTGGTTTAACACACAAAAAAAGGTTGAATTTTGTTAACAAGAATTAACAGATTTCTTGAGCTTTCATCTTCATCTTATTTCAAGGAGAGAGAGAGATGAAAAGAATGGGGAAAAATGTAGAAAAGTGGAAAGAGTTGAAAATTGATTTTAAAGAGAATCCTTTTTGTTACTGTAAAATGAAGTTTGCTGTTAAACTGAAGGGATGAAAAAATGATGGTGATAATGATGGACTTAACTGAATGATTAAAATTAATAATCTGTTGTTTCAGCTTCACTGGCATTTAATTGAGGTTAAATAATGATGTTAAAATGGTTAGCGTGTCAATTTATGTGATAACATATATTTTTGTTTATGATCAACTTGTCTTTTAATGTGAACCTGTTAACTAATACAATTATTAATCCATCATTTTTATTCATTTCAATCATGAGTTTATTTCAATTGATTGTCTAGTAGATTCAATAAAAGGCTGATATTTACAATCATTTCAAGATGTTCACGTGTAATTCAATTCAATTTTTGCTCAAGTCTTCTATTCCTCATCATCTTTCTTTAACCAATAGATATGTATATTTATGTGCATATTTTTTTCTCGTCTTTATACCTGCTTCATCTCAATGTGCTTGTTAGATAAAATGTAAGATGAGATGATGATAGTGAGTTTATAAAGAGGTGAAATGAGAGAGAGAAATGAATTTGAGAAGGAAACTAACTACATATGATATGTGTGAATGTGGATGAACAAAAAAAGTAGAGGAAATGGGTTTCAATAAATTGATTCCAGAAATGCCTTTCCATAGAAAAGAAGAAGTTGGTGAAATCAACAGGCAACTCAAGATATGGAGGATTGCAGGGAGTAAAGAAAATGAATTTACTTACACAATGGTTTTTACTCTTCTTATGAGACTTGAAAAGCATTCCAAAGGAGCAAACAACAAGATTCCAATCGATAATTCATTTAACTGACTAAAGCCTTCATCTTATTATACAAATATATCTATAAAAACACTTTTCTCGGGTAAGATTATTTTTTCCTCTCTCCAACCATTCTCTATCTCTAAAGGTTAAAATCATCGGTTGAAAAGTAGATTAATTAAAAGTTAACCCTTTTCTGGTCATTTTTGCTTCTGTAGCTTCATCGATTGACCAACCAAGAGATAGAGAGATAGGTTGGAAGGGTTAACCTCTATTGGTAATACTTTTGTCATTATCAAATTATCACTTTTTTTGGTGTTGATGTTGCTGTTGTTAATGGTTAAAATTGTAATTTATTTGGATAATCATTTACTCACTGTTGTTGCATGGCTAAAGTTGCTGCAGCAATGTGTTGTTGTTGAGCTTGGTGCTGTTGAGCTGAGACTGCAGCTGCAGCTAAAGCTAAATAAGGGTTAGTTGCGGTTGTGGTAAGAGCAACTGGTGCTGGTGTAGTTGCTTGGTGTTGATGGACAACCGCTGCTGCTGCTAGATGTTGCATTAAAATTTGCTGAAAGAGAAAAGAAAAATAAACAGATAAGAAATTTCAATATGTTAATGATGTTCTGTATCCTGAAAATTCACTTGAAATGTAAACAAAAGGGTAGAGAAAGATGAGAGAGAGGAACAAGCATGGAATAGATGAAATATTCAATCGAAAGAGTCTGATGAAAAATATGTGTCGATAAACATAATATACATAAATTATGTACTTATCAAGACGATAAATGAAGCAACAAGCATCTTTCAGTTTTTCAGTCACTCAAGCAAAGTTTTGTTGATTATTGTCTGAGTTAACTTTCTAAAGATGAACATGTTAAAA